TTTTAAGTATTAAATACCACCACCAACAAGAAATGGAAGAAGGCAAAATACATTCTCACTATTTTGAGGTTAAAGGAAGAAATTTAGATAGTTGGATTAAACCACTGTTTTTTTCTCTCTATTTTGATTTTTAGTGATCTCCTGTGGTACAGATTTTGCAGAGAAAATGTGTTTGTCAGTTTTCTTGTAGTTTTGAGAGCTTTAATTTTGTGGATTAAAGTTTAGTTATAACTGAATGTTTCCCAGAAATCTGTGAGGCTTTTCCCCTTTAGGTTTACATGGGTGTCAGTGTTGTACAGTGCTCTGCTACAACCTTGCTCACTGCTGTGCGCTGTGGATAATGCTGATAATGTCTAGCTTAGCGTTCAAGAAGGTTTCATCCTTCTTTACATAGGTAAGACTTGGAAAATATGTTTTTTCAGAATAGTTTGTCAAAAGCTGAAAGTAGCACTGAGATTTCATTTTTCTCAGTTGCTGTGTTTCTGATTATGTTTCTGTTAGTGTTTTGATTAGGATCAGGAATGCATTTCTGAAACAGATCTCCTGATAACCCCAGTTATGCACCTTGATTCACATCACAGAGCTCTTTGAAGTATGTGGACTGTTCTTTTTGGATGTAACATACCAGGTGATATATGTATTCAGGGTGCACCTGATGTGCTGCGGCTGCTAGTGGATTTTAATTTTGACTAGCCCTGGTCTGAAGTAAAGCTCCTCTCCCTCAAGAAACAGAGTGGGTCTGATGGCCTTATCACAAGTATTTTGCTCTACTGATCCACCCTAGTGTTTCACCTTAATTGCTAATGCAGATAGTGTTGTAAACCAGGTCAGGCTTTGTTTATGTATTTACTGACTCTGCTGTAAATAAACTAATGAAGCTGTTTGATACTTAGGTTTTGCTGTTGCTGGTAAAATAACTAACATTTTAATACATATTTAGTTTTATTAATCTATTTCCTGCTTAAAAAGACTATATAATATTCTGAAAATAAATACCAGAGCAAACATTAAGCAAATATGTCTTGACACCAAGATCTGTGGGGTGATGTAGTGGTATAATTTAGTTTATACAGAGCTCCACACTTGCTGGGCAGCTCTGTGTACCCGAATCATTATGGATGTCTGTCTGCTACAGAACACTGCAACATGGAGCATTGTAGACATGCTGTTCCCAAATTTAATGAGCTAGAATATGCTTTGACATATAACTGTAATTGGTAGTGCTTAAAAAAAAATAATCTAAAATTAAACTATATGAAGGCAATAAGCATTTACTAGTAGTGAAGAGCAATACTGACATGTTACCATAATCCAGGATAGTGAGAACACAGAACTAGTTGTGGAATTCAAAATAAAGTTTAATGTACAGCATTCTGTCTCCAATAATGATCATAAAGCAGATGCTTTGGGAAGACTGAGAATGGGACAAATGTATGATTCCTGTCTCATCCTGTCTCTTGACTATTCTTCCATTCTCCAGCTGTTTTCAGCTCAGCACTTCTGTACCTACAGTGCTTTGTCTGTTTGACAACCTATAATGGATCTCTTCCAAGAAATACAATTACTTATCCAGTCTTCCCTTGAAACCACAAGTAAAATTGCTGCTGCATCCACTGTGTTCTCAGGCCTGCAATTGAATGGGCTGACTACGCATTGCTTATAAACTTTTGTTTGTCTGGTTTGTACCTGGTACGTACTAGCTTCATTTGATGGCTCCTTGCTCTTGTACTGGAGCAGTTGATCCCCGGCCCCATGCTGACTATGCAGTTTATAATTTTGTGGGTATTTCCTATATATCTCCTTAATCACCTCTTGGTGATGGTTAGCTCACCTGGTGAGTTCTAGTCTACTCAGTGTTGCTTATATAGAAGCCATTCCTTACCTTTCTCTGATCCTTTTCTAAGTATGCCATATGTAATTATGCCAGTTATGTGAAGGGCTTGGAAATCAATAGCGTGTTTAATATTTCGGTGAGCTATAGATTTATAGTGGCATTATCATGTCTCTTGTTTTCTCTTTCTCTCATTACTCCCTACATTTGAGTTTCTTTTTTACTGCTACTGGGTACTAAGCCAGTGTTTTCACTGAACTGCCTATTATTACTTCTGAGTCTTGCTCCTGAGTGGTCATGGTGAGGTCATGCTTCATTCTATCATCTTCAAATATCTTTTCCGTGGATATCTCTTTCATGTAACAATGTTGAATTTCTTTTGTTACTTTAGCATTTTTAAACTTTTTGCAGTCATTCCTCATTGGCACCTAGCAATCTTTGGCATCATTTCACATTTGTCTATCTTTCCCAAGTATATTAAATTGAATAAGTTCCAGTGCAGACCCTTTGCAAAACTCGCACCGGTGGGCTCCCTCTGCATCAAGAACTGACCGTTTGTTCATATGCTGTTTCTTACCTTTTGTTTGATTTTTGTCTCTGCTGTCACCTCTTAATCTGTGGCAGTTTAGTTTCCTTAAAAACCTTTTAGAAATTTTTGTGGGTTGCTTGGCCCAGTATCTCCCTCTTTCATACACTTCATGATTCCTTCAGAGTTCTCAAAGAGAATAAGGTAAAGGTAAACTCTTCTCAAAGAGAGAAAAACATCATGACTTTTACAGAAGCCATGCCCCATCTTACCACAGCAATTGTATTTATCTAGATATCCATTAATTTTTTACTTCTTATTTCTCTAATACAGTCATAAGGCCAGCAAGTCTTTAACTCCCTGACCATCCTAAAATATTTTTCAAAGAATAGCGTTGTATTTGCCACCGATAAGACAGGAAATGTTGATTGAATGAAATGTGAGTTATGGTCGTTCTGCTTGTAATACAATTCTCATGTTCTAGCTGAATGAGTGTAATGTAATAAGACATCTGTAAAGCTTTCAATAATTATCAGTTTGACTTATATACACTTCTTAAAGTTTAAATGTAAATAGTTGATAAAAACTGAATATCTAATTCTATTTTAAAACTAAAGCTAAGCTTTGCTTCATAAATCTTTTTAAAAAGAAGAAAGCTTGTGATAAAAGATAGACTTGTACTGTATTTGCATAGTGAATGGCTTAGCTTAAAAAAAAAAAAAACCCAACAACAAAAAAGCCTGTATTAATTTAGATTTGCATGTTGTGCACTATTCACTTAAAATCTGAAATAGTTGAAAAGTTGCAAAGGTTCCCTATGGTTAATATACTATGTTTATATTAATAAAACTATGAAGTTATAGATATATTTAAATTTGTGTATATACTTTACCTAAGTTTTTTTTATGAGTATTTAAATAAAGTAATGAATACATACATATATTCCTCCTTCATGAAACTAGAAGTACTTGTGTTTGCTAAATGTTAATAAACATTTTTTTAAAAAGAGAAAGATAAATTCTATAGCACTGTCAATTTGTGCACAGATCATAAAATACTTTGCCATGAATAATATATCTGTTCAGAATGTGATTAAGGAAAAGGAGAGAAAGAATAGGGTTTTTGAGTTAGGTGGTTGAAGACCCGCAACTTAATAATGATATAAGCTTTGTATCCACAAATTAAAAAAAACGGTTATTCTTAAAGATTATATATATTCTTAACGGTTTATATTTATGAGCTTGTGACGAATTTCTTTTCATGAAAACATTAAGTATTTTCATTCTGTTATTATTTTAGTTGTTGTATCAGAAACCAAAATATACTAAGATGGACTTGAAAAAAATAACCAGAATTCTACAAGAAAAAACAGACATGTATGAAACATTTTTGAAATTCTGATACAATTTTGCTTGTAGAATTTTATATAGCCTTTTTAGTTTTCCTACACTTAAAAAATAATGTAAAATTGGTAGTATGATGTATGGTGCTATTTCTTGCATTTGTTTATCATCTTGAGAATGATGATACTTTCTCCCAACTAACAAAGACTTATTGGGGAAAAAAGTGCTGAAAATGAAATAATTTAAATAAAACAAAAACAGTAAAGTGCCCTATAGTATTATCTTACCCTATAGTTATTTGTATCTGTTTCTAGACATGACAATTAAAAAAATTGCTTAGCTCAAATAGTATATAGTACTTCAGCTTGTTTAAAGCAAGTTTTGTTCTACTTTGAAGCAGAATATAGCTAATTGGTATTAGCCATGCAGAGGGATAGTCTAAATAATTTTAAAATCCTGGAATGCTATTTTTCATGCCTGTTCTACTTGATGAACAAATCTAATAAATAGGTTACATCACATTTTATGTGCCTTCTAAAATAATATGAGCTAAACACAGGTAAAACGTAAATACAATGGATCAGTTGTATTAATACACATCCTTTTCCCTAGATCCTAAGACCTTTGAGAAAAGGTCATTTATTGCCTATATTACTAATAAGCTAAAATCTTTTTTGAAAGAGTTGTGATAGTTAAGGTACGATCTGAGAAGCAAATACTGTAATACACCTTGGCAGGACACTACAAACATAATACGTGGAAGATTTGAAACTCAGTTTGTGATTTTCCTGTCCAATTGGAAGAAAAAACATCTGTATTTCTGGCAGATGTGGAAGAATATTGTGGAAATATTTTTCTAATCTTACCCTCTTATCTTTTCTCTAATCTGTCTATTTTTGTCTGCTGCTGTGGTAGTAGATGTATAGCTGGATGGAATTTTTGGTCTTATCCACTTGTTCCTATTGAGATGACATTGATTTGTTTGTTAGTCATTTTGCAGTTGGATCACTTTAGAACATAGAAGCTTTTTCAAGTCAACTTAGGCTGCTCACCCAAGGATGAGTCCATCATCAGTCCAGGTTTATATCAGACTGATATCTAGTGCTGAGGTGAGTGCTTTTTGCTCCTAGTATTATAGATTTTTACTACATCAATAACAGGACACTTATCTACACTAAAATCCTATTTCCACTTTATAGATGTATCTTAAATCTTCCAAAATATCCAACTGTTCTAAAGGAAACTGTTTCCCTATACACTATGGAAGAATTTCTGTATATACTCATTAACAATAATAACTTCACTGAAAATAAGGATGAAAGTAGTTGTCTTCTGCTTCATGATCTTCTTCAGTTTCGTGATCATGTGTTTCATCCTGTTCTGCTTCGTGGTATTCTTCTGGTGTTAAAAATCGTCGAAACACTGGTATTCTTAGCTGAGTTGACTTGTTGGCATTAACATTTTGTTCGCCGTAATAAATGGCTCGAATGTGAGGGAAGCAAAAGAATGCATATGTGCTTATTGGATTTGTGAGCTTATTTCGGTCCATGCGTATATAGGTTAATTGGTTGACGTTCATTGGATCAATAGATGGACACATCAAAGTAATATTTACGACTGAAAGAGAGAGAAAAGTATTAATTAAAATACAGAAAATAGTTACATTTAAGACCTATTGAAAAGTGAAACTTAAGTTTTGAAATTTAAAAAGGAAAATATTTTTTCATTGCACAGGATTAATGTAATCATTCCCTGTGCTTTAAATGGGTTTTGTAAATTAAAGTGATAATTTTAGTGTTTGCCAAGTGTAAGGTTATGGGATAAGAAAAAATTAAATTACTACCACTATGATTTGTAATGACCATTTTATGTGAATGGAATATTTTCTAATTCCTTTTTCTCTGTATGTGTTTATCAATTGCCTAATCAGAAGCAATTTTCAAAAGGTTTTAGCTTGTTATAAGAAAAACTGCTATTATATCAAAATTTAACTTTTACAAAGGTGCAAAAATAAAATGCCTTCTTATTTCACCAGTTTAGTCTCAACTAACTGAGGATGTGTTTATATTGCATCTTGAAGAAGATGGGATGATATTCTTGCTGCACTTGAAGCTGATCAGACGCTACATAGCTATATTTGCTCTTGAGAAGTACAGTGTGTATGAACTCTGGGTCGGTGCCACATTAACTGTTATTTCAGGATGCTAGTAGCTCAAGCTCACCTCTACAAAGAAGGGTGTCAGATTAACTCTTGAACAACATGTGAGTTTAGATGACTGCTAGATTCTATGCTTGGTTTATACGTGACCTGACTGAGAAGCTATAAGGTCCTCAAATTGAAAGACACAACAAAAGGGATGTTTCTGATAGTTTTTTGATGTAGGCTAAAAGTTCTGATTTCTGGATGTTAAGGAAAATGTGCTGAACTCGCCCACCTCCCATAACCAGTGTCAAAATCCACTACATTTTTTGCTTTTAAAGAATTGCAACCATCAACATACTTTCAATGTCATTGTCTTCAATATACAAATGCTGCAAACTTCTTGGTATATAGAATACTTGTTTCAGTTTGTTATGTCCAAGATTAAGTTCTAGAAGGTTGGGCAGGTTAAAGGTGTTGCGTGCAATGTTTTGCAGGTTATTGTGGGACATTCTAAGAGCAATGATTTTTGGAAGTCTGTTGAAGTAGTTTTCTGGAATATAAGAAATTGAGTTGTTCTCAAGAGAGAGATACATAAGTGATGATGGTAGATCAGGAGGCATAGTCTGTAATTTGTTGTTGCATAAATTGAGCTGCATTAAATTTTTCATGTTTGAAAAGGGTTTTCCTTTGAGTACTGAGTCGTCAAGAAGGTTATTGCACAGGTCAAGCATGGTTATGTTAGGTAATCCTTCCAGTGAATTTCCGGATAACTGAGAAATCTGATTGGAACCAAGGAGGAGTCTCTCTAGAGAGCTGGGGAGAGGGAATGGAAATTCTTCCAATTCATTATGTTGTAAATGAAGTTGCAATAAGTTTGAAAGCTTGGCAAAAACACCATGGTCAATCATATGAAATTTAATTTTGTTGTGGCTGAGGTTAATTTCTCTTAAGAAGGTAGCATTAGTGAATGGTCCTGCAGGCACAGCTTCAATATCATTATTTTGCAGATAGAGTTGTTGAACGTGATTTGGGATATTTGGTATTGCCTTAAGTTTGCGATGATCACAGTACATTGATAAGGGAAAACCTGGTGGACAGAAGCATTCACGGGCACACTCAACTGGAAAAGGGAAGCGAGGAACTTCAGCTTGTGTATTTGGATTAAAATAATATGGATATTGATGATTTGGCTCCCCATCATACTCATCCTCAAAATCATAGTCTTCATATTGACAAAAGACCATAGCAGCCCAGAGGAGGTGAAAGATTGATAGCTGGCTCAGAATCCCCATATTTAAACTTGTGTGTTGTATTCTGTTGATGAGAAGGAAAAGTAAGTTTATTAGCCATGTAGTAAATAACAAGTTTTAAGTTTTAAGAAGAAGCAATATAAAGTAAGTAGAATAACTTTTTTTTTTTTTTTTGGCAATGCTGTCACTGACATGATTAGCAAAACCAAGTTTTAATCTGCATCTTCCAATAAAACCATCACCATTCTTTAAAATAAACAAGTTTTCTTGTCTGAGTTCAGACAAGGAACAACTTTCTACCTGTTCTATGCCTGTTACCAAAGGATGTCATAACAGTTAGGAGTATAACACACAC